CCAGCCCGCACGGCGTAAACGGGCGGAAGAACTATGGTTGCGTGCGCCAAGACAGAGTCGGCCGGAACCATTACACGCGAAGGACCCGAGTTAAGAATTTATAAAAAGGGGTCCTGGTCCTTTGACATGACCGTCAGGGCACCCACAAAGCAGGACGTTCTCGAGAAGTAGAGGGAGACAAAAGAATGCCCGCCTCCGGCGTCTGCAATTCCATGGGTTTGCGTAACCTTAGGGGTATCAACATCTGTGACCCAGGTGGAATGGTCATGGAATCCTTAGACAAAGCTCTTACACTGGCGGCAAGAGGGACAACATGATGGGAGAACGCAAGAAGAACAACCGACGGCCCGATGGTATCTCCACACAACCCTGGTCGATGAGTATTCTAATGGGCATTTTGGCCAAGATATCTGTCCCCAAAAGGCATGGCACTGCCAATGCCTTCGAGACTAAGATGGGCCCCTCCAATTTGATATCGCCATTTCTAATGGAGGCAACAATGTGGCCCAATCGACCCAAACTATCGCCATTTGCCCCTTGAACCGGCCGTAATTGACCAATGCTGTGTGGCAACAATCCGAAGATGCATTCAGATATAATAGTGGCCGACGCACCCGTCTTCACCAAAATCCAGACTTCCACCCCTTGGACATAGCCAGCGACCGCGGAAGAATTTGCCGCAGCTGCCACAACCCGATGTGCGAGTGCATTCTATTGATGGACGACGAACGAACACCGAGCATCCCAGAACTCTTATTGATGGCCGTGTGATCATGAACCCTATTCCCGCTAGATGTGTGAGGTGAAGGGAGCGGCCGAGTGATCGATGCATCACGACTCGCCTGAGGCCCGGATGACGCCGCTGATGTGGAGGCAGAGGTAGACGAAGTCCTGCTGAAGTCCCCGAGAGTGTTGTGGCAGCCCAACGCAATATGGCCCTGCTGGCCACAGCAGAAACAGCAGAAACAGGCGGTGGATGTCGACCCCTGCGAGCGAGGAGCCGGCGGCCCCCGGCGCCTCTCCCACGTAGGTCGCCCACAACGAAAGCGGCAAGGCCATCTTCTCGCTGAGGCGTACCAGCTCCCGCGGGACCCGGGAACCCCACACATGCCGCCACACTGGGCGACTGGCGCAGGGCGAGATGAGCCTGGATACCCTGCGCTACTCTGAGGGAAGAAATGTCAGCCTCCTCGGCAATCGTCAAAACCACTCCGAGCTCTCGCGCGAGGGAGAGCAAACACTCAAAACCCAAAGAGTCGACCGCCGCTCCGTCCATGTTGGGGTAGGCCACCCGAGCCAGCGCCAGCAAGGAGCTGCGGAAGGTGAGAGGCGTCTCGGCCTCCTCTTGCCGCCGCAACAAGAACTTCAGGCGTGCGCTGGAAGGCGGCTCAAAAATAGTGGCCATCTGGGCATACGCCATGGGGAGCATAGCCCTATCCGCTGGAGGAATTGATTTAAATGCGGCCAGGGCCCTGTTATCAAGCACCGTCGGGAGCACCTTAAGAGCCTTGTCCATAGGCCACCCAACTGAAGTGTACGCCGCATCAAACCGGTCTTGAAATGACATCCAGTCACCGCCTGCCACAATAAAAGGGCGAACGGGTGTCAAGCGAAGAAGCTTCCGACAGCCAGAGGTGAATACTGGTGTGGGCGCTTCTACCGGCACACACGGAGGCATCGCTGCAGCCTCAGGATTGTCGCCCGGTGGCCGGTTGCGGAGTCACAAAAAATGGTGCCCAGTTGCGGAGTCGCAGAAAAAATGGCGCTCGGTTGCTGTGTCGCATCTCGCGAAACAATGGCGCCCAGTTGCTGCGTCGCATCAACAATGGCGCCAAACTGCTGAGTCACGCCGGTTGGTAAAATGGCACCAAATTCGAACGAGGCGGGAGGCTAAACGGCGGAAATAGTCCGATTCCGCTCCGAAAAAGTGCCGGGTGCGTGCGACTGGGCTCCCACCTCTGACATCGTGGCGATGAGCTGTGCGGCCGACTGCAGCAGCTGCCCAAGCTGGCTCGTGAACATTCGTCAGGTCTCTGGCGGCGGTGAGTAGCCACCCATGGCCGCCATCTGCTCCTGCTCCAGTCGGCCGGGCTCGACGTGGCGCATCTCCAGGGCTCCGGACTCCGGGGACGTTGCGGAGACCTCTTCCATGCTGTCCTCGTCGTCCAATCTCACCACAGGTAAGTTCTTCTATTTTGCCGCTGACTTTGACATGGCGGCGGAGGCTGGAGTCACTTCTGGCACCAGTTGTTGTGTCATGTAGAACGACGTGAAGACGGAACTTCTTGTAATGGCTTACGTCGGTTTATTAACAGGGATACACACTCACACCAGAGATCGTTGTCCACTATACTCGGTCCTTCCCGTGGACCCCAGACCCTATTTTTGCCTAACCTCGGCTATTCCCTTGGGTTCTCTCACTCAAGTCGGGACGGGGGTTCAGCCAGCACCGCCCGACCGAGGAGAGAAGAACCCCACTTATTATCAGCCGACTCTCACATACTTCCCTGAGCCCGGCCCTCGGCTATCCCTTCGGCTCTCCCACTCGTCGAATCCGGAGGGGGATTCATCCAACACCGTCCGGTCACGAGCAGGAGAGACCTTCTTTAACCGCTCCATATCCCGGGCTCCCACTACGACCTTGCCGTAGTCACGGGGTCTCCCTTAAGTATCCCCTTTGGCAGCTCCTCCACCTTTCTCGGACCCACCCCCGTTCTTCTTGATATCTTCCTATGGCGCTGATGACATGACGTCCTAATGCCTCATGGCACTCATGATGTCACGTCATCACACTTCTCCTCTACACATGTATAAAAAAATCAAACATGGCAACACATCTTGATTTGAAGCTTTCGTGACTGCAGGAATCCATACTCTTTGGTTCTTTCGGTAAAGTCACGTGACTTTACCGAAAGAACCAAAAAGTATAGCAACAAATATTATGCCATACAAATTCCCATCATTAATTTGACATCCCGTGCACTTGCAGAGTACAACTCTTCTGCATCAACTATTTCCGTGAATGAAGGTGATTGGTTTAGTGGAATCCCGAAATGGATATCAAGTTAATACATTTCATTGCTGAATGATTGATTTCATTTCATATTTGTACAATTTTGTCAAATGTTAGTATTTACATTACCACAAGACTGATAATTATTTACATATAGCCTACAGTGAGGGAAAAAAGTACTTGATCCCCTGCTGATTTTGTACGTTTGCCCACTGACTAAGAAATGATCGGTCTATAATTTTAATGGTAGGTTTATTTGAACAGTGAGAGACAAAATAACAACAACAAAAAATCCAGAAAAACGCATGTCAAAATGTTATAAATTGATTTGCATTTTAATGAGGGAAAAAGTATATGACCCCCTCTCAATCACAAAGATTCTGGTTCCCAGGTGTCTTTTATACAGGTAACTAGCTGAGATTAGGAGCACACTCTTAAAGGGAGTGCTCCTAATCTCAGCTTGTTACCTGTATAAAAGACACCTGTTCACAGAAGAAATCAATCAATCAGATTCCAAACTCTCCACCATGGCCAAGACCAAAGAGCTCTCCAAGGATGTCAGGGACAAGATTGTAGACCTACACAAGGGTGGAATGGGCTACAAGACCATCGCCAAGCAGCTTGGTAAGAAGGTGACAACAGTTGGTGCGATTATTCGCAAATGGAAGAAACACAAAAGAACTGTCAATCTCCCTCGGCCTGGGGCTCCATGCAAGATCTCACCTCGTGGAGTTGCAATGATCATGAGAACGGTGAGGAATCAGCCCAGAACTACACGGGAGGATCTTGTCAATGATATCAAGGCAGCTGGGACCATAGTCACCAATAAAACAGTTGGTAACACACTACACCGTGAAGGACTGAAATCCTGCAGTACCCGCAAGGCCCCCCTGCTCAAGAAAGCACATATACATGCCCGTCTGAAGTTTGCCAATGAACATCTTAATGATTCAGAGGACAACTGGGTGAAAGTGTTGTGGTCAGATGAGACCAAAATGGAGCTCTTTGGCATCAACTCAACTCGCCGTGTTTGGAGGAGGAGGAATGCTGCCTATGACCCCAAGAACACCATCCCCACCGTCAAACATGGAGGTGGAAACATTATGCTTTGGGGATGTTTTTTCTGCTAAGGGGACAGAACAACTTCACCACATCAAAGGGACGATGGACGGGGCCATGTACCGTCAAATCTTGGGTGAGAACCTCCTTCCCTCAGCCAGGGAATTAAAAATGGGTCATGGATGGGTATTTCAGCATGACAATGACCCAAAACACACGGCCAAGGCAACAAAGGAGTGGCTCAAGAAGAAGCACACTAAGGTCCTGGAGTGGCCTAGCCAGTCTCCAGACCTTAATCCCATAGAAAATCTGTGGAGGGAGCTGAAGGTTCGAGTTGCCAAACGTCAGCCTCGAAACCTTAATGAGATGTGAGCAAACCTGGTGGCCAACTACAAGAAACGTCTGACCTCTGTAATTGCCAACAAGGGTTTTGCCACCAAGTACTAAGTCATGTTTTGCAGGGGGGTCAAATACTTATTTCCCCCATTAAAATGCAAATCAATTCATAACATTTTTGACATGCGTTTTTCTGGATTTTGTTGTTGTTATTCTGTCTCTCACTGTTCAAATAAACCTACCATTACAATTATAGACTGATCATTTCTTTGTCAGTGGGCAAACGTACAAAATCAGCAGGGGATCAAATACATTTTTCCCTCACTGTATGTATCAGAATGTTCTGGTAACGGTTTATGTCCACTTTAAAGATAGGTAATTTCCTAAAATATAATGAAGGCAGTGCGAGGTTTATTCAATCAGCTCTCTGAGCTCGACATACAAAAATGTGTCGATCTATTCCAGGAAAATATCCAAGTATTTATATGTTGATTAGATTGAGTGGGCCAACAACCTATTGCCAGTGCCAAACTGGTCAAGTATTATTTACTGCAATTAATTAAACCTCGCGTTCCTTGCCTGCAGCGTCAAGATAGACAGACAGGCACTCATTTAATCTGCCAAGAAAGATATCCACTCGGCCATGGAGACATCATCATGCCGGTAAAGAAAAACTATTCGCCCATGGAAAACACTTGCCTGTTGGTACGTCCACATTTTAAAACTCTTTTGAGCGAGTTTCGAAATGTGGATGATCCGGTGTAGATGATCAGTGGATCTAGGAGGCTGTTGATCACACTTAGACACATGGTGACGTCTCTCAGTATTGCGATGCTGTGCCAAGAAAAGGCGCTTGTTCTTGTTTGTATGAAACCTATAACGTGCGTTGAGTTATACGGGATGAAGCACACGACGTAAATCAATAAGCTCACTGCGGTAGTCTTGGCAGCACGTATCTTTTTTGCTTGACTTATCAGTTCTGTCTGCCCTTTCGTCACAATGAGGGTTTTCACGACATTTCCATAACAAAACATCGCTATAGTCAGGGACATGAGGTAGAGGGCAAAGAATACATACAGCCTGTATGCTGCCAAGAATGTCAGATCTTCTGGAGTGAATTTTTCATAGCATCTGACAAACACCAATGTGGTACTATTTGTTGTAATGTTCTCTTCGCTGAGAAAGCTGCTAATGTGGTTAGCGGGCAAGGTGTGGGTGATGCTAAGGACCCAGCACAATAGACAAATGAGCCACGCCGTTTGGGGTTCGCGCCAGCGAGACACTCTTAGCGGGTACACGATAGCAACATAGCGGTCCATGCTTATTGCGCAAAGCAACAATAGGTTCGCATAAAAGTTGGAAAAGAATAACATTATGTGTAAAATACACATGAAACTTGAAAGGATCCATCTGTTTCCATTGAAGTGATAGTCAATTTTCAGTGGTAGAAAGAGCAGGAAAAGCAAGTCCCCCGCGGCCAGATTGAGCATGTAGATGGACATGGACGACTTCTTCTTTCGGATGAGCACCCACAGAGCGAGGGCATTCAGTGGGACGCCCAGAACCACCGTGATGGCGTAAACAGAGGGAACGATCCAAACCTGGAACAACTCGATCACGTCCATTCTTCACCAGAGACAGAGGCACACTGCAGCTAAGAGCAGACATGCACAGCGTAAACACAGCTACGATTTGAAAACAAAACCAGTAATGCATTCTTACATGTTACACTGGCTTTTAGTTTTAAATGTATCCTTAAGTAAAAGGTGAACAAGCGTTTATTCTGCTTCTAGAGTAGCTGCAGTCTTTTCCTTACCGTTTTACAGAGCTCACCAGGTATTACGTTGGTCTAACTCTTCACTCTGTTCCTTTAAAAGCAACTCTTCAATATGCTAAGCCTTCGACAAAGACCAGCTGGTTATAAACAAAAACAACGTCAAATGCAAAGTCAACAAACATTATTTAAAGGTCGAAATATCATGAAGTCAATTACACCTGAGCTGAACAGGTGAAGCACACAGATCAGCAAAGTTAACAGGCAAGCGTGGAGTCGCATGCAAAGCACACAAGTTCTGAAAAGGCAACCGATGCATCGAAACGGGGCAACTCAGCTGCACGTCGCGCGCCCGTGAGACACCAGAGCTGCATAGAGCTCGCCAGTCTTCACTTGTATTTATTGGCTGTGGTGCTGTGGAGCAGTTATTTTTCTCATATTTATTTTACATGTTTATTTTTAAACCACTTGACGAGCTTTCAATTTTCCGTTGTACGCCCATGATAAATATTTATACTGCTGCTTGTTGGCTGGCTCCATGCGTCGAAAGTGTGCAGGAGTAATGTTATTGAGTGCGGGCCATGTGAGGACATGTTTTCCATTTAATTACAAACCTTTTCTACATTAAATACGGTAGTATTATCCTACAACAACTTGGTATTTGTGTAGCGAACGACTCTCTGCTCCAGATGTGCAGATTTCATACGAAACGTTACCATAATTTAGTTTGAAACGCTGTAAGATTCATCAATATCCCAGGATCGTGAAAGTGCCTTTCGTAGAACAATTATAATTTTTCCGAACAAAATCATAATTTTCTTCATAATACTCGCTTTATTTTGTTTATTACTATATAGTTTGAATTTAAAGAATGTATAAAAAACGATTTTTAAAGTATATTTTTCGTGGCATTCTGCATTCATGTTTCCTTTTCAAATCAGATGAAGTTTGTAGTGAGCATCATGCATATTGTATCCTGGACCTGCAAATGAGAGGATGAGAGGTAAATTAAGCTATCCTTTACGAACACAGCTATCAACACAATTCTCAACATGCCCCACTCCACTATAATTACTGATGTGTAATTATCCGGACACATGGAGACATTCAATCGCATGGTTAAAGGTTTTAACAAAGGTTGGTGTGACACAATGAGATGATTTCATACCTATCAGGGTCACAGAAAAATATCTCATTGTAGTTGTAAATATGAACATGTGCAATATTAAATATTTATGTCAAACTACAGAAAGGGATTTATTAATTATGTATTTTGCCCAGATAGCAACTATTTTTGCAGATTTATCAGCAAAAATCAGGACAGAACAAGACAGAGCTAGGTGCCATGGGTTGACTAAGATGACTGGAAGATGTGCCACCTGTGCGCCCTACTGCGTTACTTACTTAATTTTAGCTGATCAGTGCTCTGCTTCATTCTTGTGAGCGTTTCTCCTCTCATCTCCATTGTTGTTGGAGGGTGACTACATCCAACTGCCCATTAGCGTTCATCACGTGTCTTTTCCAAAGAGGCCGATCTTGATACCGCTGGTACCAGTATTTGGCAGGTCCACTCAGCTCCACATCAGCCCATCTCTTCTGTAGTCCGTGCCATGCCCATTTAGCCCCCTTTATGCAGCATATCAGAATCTGTTGGGCATGCAGTAGCTGGGTATGTGGTCGACATGACCAAGCCTTTGCCTGATGGAGGAGCTCACTGATGGGACAGTGTACATATCTTTCAAGAATCCGTGAGCTTCTCACACAATCCAGCCAGGTTAAACCCAGGATAGATCGTAAGCAGGCCAGCCTGGATGTTTGAAACCGGCACAGATTTTCGATTAGATGGGTCCACGTGTTGCCACCACTCCTCCTCCCCTTTCATCTGGGTTTTAATACCTCTATCTCCTGACTTTGATTAGAGTTTAATGAAACCACGTCAGCTCTCAATTATCAAACCATTAAATGTACGTATAATAATAACACTGTGTAACAAAATTTTTTTTGTTCCTGGATAGTAAGTGTTTTTTCCTAATTGCGTATGCCTCAAAAGTACAGAAAATGGCTATTATTCCCCACAAATTTAGCTTTTGTGACCAGGACAGTGATATTTTGAAATTTACCTATTTTCCAGAACATTCCAGATAGATTCAGTGCTGAGTAAATTTGGAGTAACTTCTAGAACATTATAGAACTTTCCAGTAAAAAAATCTATATATATAAAAGTCAAAAGTTGCGTGTGGGTTTGTGGCGGGGGTTTGTGTGTGGGTTTGTGACGGGGTTTGTGTGTGGTTGCGCGCTTGCCTCTCCAACGGTGGAGTTTACGTAAAAAATTGCCAGGTACCATGCCGTAAGCCCTGCGGTGAGCAAGCGCTGTTCCATTTTCACATCTGTCAACCTTTAAGTAGTTTAATTAGCGATTTAGTGCTGTTTTTGTGCGCTTCCATTTTATTTATTTATGACGTGTGCACGACCATACCAACTCACGCGCCTTTGGTGGGGGGGAAGGCCCATGCCAAGTCACACGCCTTCGGTGGGAGTGAGGGGGACATTTTCTATCGCGTAAAAAATCCTATAAAAAGGACACTAAACGCTCAGGTAAATGATTCACAGTCTCATGTCCCCCCTACCCCGATGCGTGCAGTTATTACTACTATACAGTCGGTAGATGCTACCACTATAGGCCGTAGATATTACTGCAGAACGGCCGGGACATCGTGCCTGGCGGGGGGGGGGGGGGGGGGGGGTTCAGTGGTAGCAGCCCAGCCCCAGCCTGCCAAGGTGCCACCTCGGCCGGCTGGACAATCTAGGCGAGGCTGGAGGCTCTGCACGGTACTAGGCCTCACCACGCCACTCTATCAGGTGAGTACTTTGTGTTATAAAGTCGATAAATTCTGCTATAGAGTCAGCATGTACTACTGTAATGATAGCAGGTACCACCACAGTCGGTATGCACTGCTGTCATCAAATCAGATACCACCACAGTATGCATTGCTGCAGTGAAAGCAGGTACCATCACAGTATGCACTGCTGTAATCATAGCAGGTAACACCACAGTCAGTACGCATTGCTGTTAGATTTAGTTTTGAAATGTTTTAAGACCTGGGCAACGCCGGGAACTTCACGCTAGTAGTAGTATAAATACAAGGGCCTTAAGCCCACCAGTTCAGTTTAGTTTCAGCTGCCTAAGTGGATACATATCTGCATTTTTCTGAGATGGCATAAAGAGGCTTCAAGCATCCGGCAGGCGAATTTTGCTATGTCTGCGGCCAATTTATCAAGACAAGAGTGAAAAATACTCTGTGGAAGCATCTGCTAAGATGTGTGAGGCCTACAAGGCATATTTCGGCATGTCTGTTGGGGATCAAGACAAACCCTGGGCATCTCATTTCACCTGCGAGTAATGCAAAAAAACTCTGGCAGGTAAGATGGACAATTGTTACTCGGAATTTTGTTATAAAATTTGTTAAAATGTTTAAAATCGTAAAAGTTTTTTTTATTTTAAAATGTTTTACAATTTTCAAAGTTATTGAAAAAACATATCATAGATAAAAAATGTTGCGAGAATCTCTTACACATTAGTCATGGGTGCATTTTTTTCATTTTGTAAGATGGTACAGAGGGGAAAAGAGAGCCATGAAGTTCGCTATCCCAAGATTTTGGCGGGAACCCACTGACCACTCAAGCAACTGCTACTTCTGCATGGTGGACCCTCCTAAACGTCGGACTGGCAAGAATGCACCTGCTATCACGTATCCGGACCTTCCTTCATCCATCGCCCCAGTGCCACACTGCCACGAGTTCCCCGTACCCACTCCTCCGGAGAGAGAGCAGACGTCTTTAGAAGAGAACAGCAAGTCAGAGAGCGAGAAAGACGTTGTAGATCCAGATGAAAATTTCAGAGGTGGAGCTGAGGAGAGAAACACATACTACCCCAACCAAAAAGACCTCAACGACTTAATCAGAGACCTTAGTCTTATCAAGTCCAATGCCGAGCTTTTGACATCTCGGCTCAAGCAGGGGAACTTGTTGGATGAAAGTTTGCAAGTCGCAGATCAGAGGAAGCGTCACCAATCTTTTTGCAGCTTCCTCACCCGTCAAGATGGGCTCTGCTTCTGCCACAATGTGACCAGTCTTTTCCAGGCAATCGGAATCACCTGTAACCAGAATGAATGGTGCCTTTTCTTTGACAGCTCATCCAGGAGTCTCAAAGCAATGCTGCTCCATAATGGTAACAAGTACCCGTCTCTTCCCCTGGCTTACTCGGTGCACCTCAAAGAGGATTACACCAGCATCAAGACCTTGCTGGATGCCTTGAAGTATGATGAGTACGGCTGGGAGGTCATCAGAGACTTCAAAATGGTGGCATTCCTGATGGGTCTCCAAGGCGGTTTTACCAAGTTTCCCTGCTATCTTTGCCTTTGGGACAGCAGGGACACCAAGGTGCACTACCACAGGCGGGACTGGCCACAGCGGACAGAGTTCTCTGTGGGGAGGAACAACGTCAAGTGGGAGCCACTGGTGGACCCCCGAAAGATGCTGATGCCACCACTGTACATCAAATTGGGCCTTATGAAATCATGTCAGAGCTGTAGATAAGGAGTCGGCAGCCTTCAAGTACCTTCACGACTTCTTCCCTAAGCTGTCTGAGGCAAAGGTCAAAGCCGGTGTCTTCATCGGACCACAGAAAAAGAAAACCCTCTAGTGCAATGAATTCCGCTAGAAGCTCACTAGTAAGGAGAAAGAGACTTGGAACAGCTTTGTCGCAGTGGTTTGTAGCTTCCTGGTCGAAAACAAGGTCGAAAACTACATGGAGCTGGTTGAGACTCTGGTGAAGAACCAGGGCTGTAGGAT